ATCCGCCCCAGTTTCCACGTTGGTCTCCCGCCTGGCGGATGCACTGCGCTGCAGCGTGGGATGAGGCCCAATGACGAAGCCGAGCGACTTACCTGTGGTCAAGATCCCCTCCGGACGACGATCACCAGGCAGAGGATAGACTACCACATTAGCTGTCAGACTTTTGTCGTGCTCGAAAGCGGGCTAACCAAACTCTGCATGCAGTTGATCACATCTGGTCTGCACGAAGGACTTGCGACCGGCGTTGGGGGCCAAGGACTGGACCGGTGGTCAGAGAGCGAAGTCGCCAAGCACCCACCAGAGATCTCCCGGCGGATCATCATTCATTGCCATGTAACATCACTGCCAGGCCAGCTGCGGCAGGTTCCAACCCCTTTTCGTCTTCCACCTGAACACCACGGATGTTCGCCTCGTCGCGTATGATGGACAGCCGGGCGTTGTTTCTTCAACCTGGTGTTCCTGCACGTCTTCCCTATCAGAACATCAGAATGGTCATAAATGTCGGCCCGCCCAAGAGCCACGAGCGGACCTGGACCAGGGAGCTTCCACCTGCTGCCACCCCACATGGGATCTGGAGGATTATTTGCCCATGTGAACCAGGGTCGCCAACCTCGCTTCCGCCGATCATCTCCCAGGATTCTTCGGACGGAGCCAATCATTCTACCGGTTGCACCGGTGAGCTCTCGGGACAAGGGAGAAATGCAGGGCAGGTCCTCCTATACATACCTCGTGCTATCAAAGCCGGTGATCTTCGCAGGCATTGGCTCGAATGGCCAGCCACATGGTGACAGCACCATCTGATAGCGACAGCGGGAGGCTGCTTCTTTTACACGCGCTGGTTGCTCGATGAGGACTAGATGCAGCCGCTAAGGCGCGTCCCACGGTAGGATGGTGCTCTTTTATTGATTTCAATCTCTCTCCAAAGCCCGGAAGCTCTGCTTTTCTTGTACCATTTCAGGGCGTCCATTCGTTATTGTCGCGGTTGATCATCGCAGGATGAAACACTAAATGCCAATGATGCGCGCTCCCAGATCCCGTATTTTACAAGAACTAACGTCCACGGCCAGCAGGACCAGGACCACTACCCTGAGAGGATTTGAAGAAGCGTCTCGTGGCAGATTTGTACACAGTACAACACGCGTGTACATCGGCTCGGCTGTCAGGCAGATCCAGTCCCCACCCGTACGACTCAAGCACTGACCGCCAGAACATGCAGCGCCAGGGTCCTGCTGGAATAAGGTTCTTGTTGTGCTTTTCTCGTCCACAGAGTTGCAGTGCGCCCGGGGGCCTCGTGCCAGATCGGGACAGCTAGCAGACTCCCCGCTCTGTGCTTGCAAAGCCTTCCATAATCATCGTGGACGAATGTGTGGATACATCGCGTGCCTTTCGAGGCAGCCCTTTTTCGCAGCCCCGACGACCGTTGCAACCTAACGAGTTGGCGCCCCCCACGGCGGCGCCCCAGGTATTGCAAAGTACCGCTGACGTACTGCCGTGCATGTATCTCTTTACTTCTTCCTCCCCACGTTCTCTTCGCTGGGTCTTCGTCCGAGACATGGAGCAATGGCCTGGCTCTCGCTACCGAATTACCAACGGCACCAGGGCGTGGACGCTTTGATTGCCCAAGCGATGGTGCCCTGGGACTTTTGTTCTGCCTTCAGCTCTTGGGCTGGCCTGCTGCCGTCGGACGCAGTTGCTTCCCTTTTTTTTTTTTTTTTTTTTTTTTTTTTTTTTCTTTTTTTCTTTCGGACGCACCTGACGAATGTCTGCCGCCCGGTGGCAGGAAACGATTGCTTTGGTCGCCGGCCCATTGTCCGTTTTTGGACCGAGAGGGCCGTCCCCGCAGGTAGGGTCCCGGACACCAGCCGGCACAGCCCACGTTTGCTTATTCGAATCTGCGCTGGTGATCGTCATTCCCGGGGGACACTGCAGCCGCCGGAGCACCGCGTGGACATGGTGCAGGCGAGTGGGACGGACCTACCGAGTACTGTGGTCTACATCGGACAGGTACCAACCACAGTGCTTTCAAAGCCTGTTCCCGCATGCTGTGGCGGTGAACACTGCCGGTTTCAAGAGGGATTCCACCTCGACAGCACGACAGACTGCCTGGCCCGGGTTCGCTCGTTGCGCGAGCCCAATATTTACACTTTGCCAACACCACCACCGCCCTGGGTCCCGGAACCTTGACAACAGTGCCTCTGAGCCGGCCCCACCAGCGGCGACTATCGGGATGGGCGTCGAGACGCGCGTTGGAGCTTGTCGACGTGTTCCGCTCAGCTGGCGAGCTGGGCCACCCACTGATCTAATGGGTAGTGTGGAATGCATATGGTGTGGCAGTTGTGATTTGGCCACACTCTGTGGGATGGATGCCGGGTCATAGGGAGGATGCTGGTACAGAGCCATTTTGTCCTCCTTGTCCCCGGTGACGGGCATGCAGTCAGACACAACTACAACCAACAGACCATCCGGTACCAATCTTGTCGCGCCCACCCAAGACTAGGCACAGGCAGAGACCAGGCCCCACATGCAGCGGCAGATCGACCACCAGGCAAGGCTCCTGCGCTGCTGCAAAGCTAGTTGACCGGGTTCCAGGGTCGGTGGCTAGTGGTCCAGTCCAACAGCTTGGTAAGAAGGGGGGCGCAGCCATCATCTCCGTACCAGCTTTTTCCAGAAGCACCTCGTCGAGGCACGGGTCCAAGCTTCCTGCGGCGCTAGTCTGGCCTCACGCCCGCCAACGTGATCCCACCTGTGTAATAGACCGGGAAAGCGCCTCGGAAATGTAGCCTAGCATCTTAGATCGGATCTGGTATAGATGGCCTCCCTGGCTAGCTGGGTGACAGCAGGGCCTAAACACAGGAGCAGGGCCTTCAACGTCCGGTACGGGGACTTTTATTACACAGAGACAGGCACAGTCGCGACGAAAACCATGGAACTCGGAGGTCGCTATCGATGATGCACAGAGCGGAATGCCACGAGGCAAGGATGAAGACTTGCTAGGCCGGACCAGCAACGCACGTTTGCTTTGGCATCAGAAAGTCTCGACGCAGGAGATGCGATTGGGCGCCAGGCCCAAAAGCTGTCTCGAAAGTGCGCGCCGGCGCAGGGGAAAATAAGAGACAAGACCACGGGCTCGTGTTCCAATCTTCCCGGACCGGACTTTGTGAGGGGATCTACGAGGTACGCACATTGTCTTAAGATGCGAGCGTCTGAGGCCCCTCTCTCCGTCTCTTCCCTACCTGCCTGGCGAACGACGCCACCCCGTCCGGCGGGCATATTGGCTTGGGAAGGAAGGAAACCCCTGGCGGAACGCAGGGCCGGGCATTGAAACCCGGGGGGGGGGCTAAATAAGCAAAGTTGCCAACCGAGGCGCCAACCAAAGGTTGAAGAGAAGGAAGGGAAAAGAAAGGACAAATAGAAAGAAAGAAAGGGACACAGGGCGAGAAAAGTAGGATGCCCAAGGGGTCAGAACCACACTTAGGTAGGGACGTTGAGCCGTGGCGCGGCGTGGGCAGCTGCTTGGTGGCCGGCCCCCTTTCAAAACACGGGGAATAAATTGCAAGCCACAGTAATATTCCCCCTTTGCGCTGCGCGTTCCCGATGCGGTGTATCGACCGATGTGAAGGGGCAGGAGAGACAGAGGCAAAAGGAAAGGAAAAAGAAGTGTCAGCCACGAGGCTTCTGGCCCCGGCCCGCGGCTTTTGCTCGTTGCGTAGAGAGACAGACAGTTACTTGGGTGGCCTACATTCCAACGCTGATCTTCGCGATGTCTCTCATCGGTGTCTCTGTCTGATACCAAGCTCACCGTCCGGCAGCAGTCGGCCCGCGAGGCTGCGGGCGTCTGGGGGAGGGTGGTCCTCTGTGTGTCTTTATGTCTCTGTCTTGGTGGCCCGGGCAAGGCTGGCGATATTGCATGTGGGCGCACAGGCTTGTCTTTGGTCGCCCTTCTCGGGCCGTGATGCCTTTGGGGCTGCCTATATAGCATGTGGCACACGACCTTTGTTATTACGTGGATGCCCGTAATGCATTCTCTATTGTTACGATAAAATGCCGTTGGGGGCGTGGGGTGGGGTGTTGTGATCCCCCTGGTCCTTCCCCCGTCGACGAGCGGGCGAATCACCGGTCCTGTCACATCACCATGGACATGCACATACAGATAATATCGAAAATCGAAATTGCACTGCTGCCGCTCTCTTATCACGAGCTGGCTAGCCGGCTTACTAGCCGGGCTGCAGTCAGTAGCTGGGCTGCACTGCCTATTCTTTCTCGTGTCTGGCAGAGACCATACCGAGTCCATCAAGCTGAATTGGGAAATCCAGTCTAGGACAGCACACACACACACGCGCGAATAAAACCCAAAAAGAAAAAAAGACGCTCGTGATGCCCTCCATCCCTCTAACGCCGGTCGACAACAGTTTTGCCCCCCCCCCTTTTTTTCGCGTGAAAAGAATGCGCGCAGCCGGAAGAGAAAAGTATTTAGCCCTCAGACGTCGGGACTCGCATGCCTTGTCCCACCAAGGGCACGTCCACATCGGCGTAAGAGCATGACGGGGTATGTCGTCCTGTCGCTGCTCTGCCCAGCCCTCGCTGGCTGGCTTCGTCAAGCGTTGCTCAAAAGACATGCGTAAATAGCGTCGGCCTTTTTTCCATGCTCGTCGACAAAGGAAATGAAATTCGTTCTGCCCGGCATCCTGGGCGGCTGAGTGACTTGGTATCTCCTCCCCCTACCACCTCCCACACCGTGACATCCAATCTTGCATAGCAATGCTGATCAGTGAAAGGGAAGAAAACAAAAAGGAAAATGCAGAGTGTTTGTGCTCGCCATCGACAATGCTGGCCTGTGGGTGGCTGCGACTAAAATATGTGCTCCGCTGCAGAATGCTCGCCGTTTAGATTGCGCACCGCAGATTCTGACTGGGATGTTGATTATGGTTCATATGCCCAAGTGGGCGGGAGGACCTTTTGTACAACTGCAGCGAGACTCGGAGAAACAGGCTCGAGCTTCTTCACAGTCCCGGAATGGGCTTGGGCATGTGCTTGCTGCGGATCAGGAAGGGACTGGGCATTTCATCCACAGTCTCGGGGTCCCAGATCGGGGCGGGCTTCAGGTTCTCGTTGCTGTTCAGAACCCTGCCACCCGCACGCGCCTGCGAAAGCTCGACGAGCGTCCGGCCGCGGACGTTGCCCATCTTGCTGACGAGACCGCCGCCGCTGCCCTGCTGGCCGACAACGGATTGCTTGCGAGACAATCCACCTCTAGTGGATGAGTCGCTACCGCTCGCCGCGGACAGGTTCGCAAAAGAGGGGATTTTGGAGACCTGTCGGTTTGGCGAGTCTCGCTCGCGGAGGGCACCGGGAGATCGCAGTTCCTGATTCGAAATCATGTGCGGCAGACCAGTGGTGGTCTTGGCGGGTGCTGGCAGGGACGGCTTGTTCCTGAGCAGGCTCCCCGACGGCTCGGTCTTCATGTGGGGGAATGCTGGCCGCGAGAGGCTCTGGACCTTCTTCACCTTTCTGGTCGGCGATGGAGACGCTGGCGTGTCGTCGGATTCGTCCTCCGACTCAGACTCGAAGTTGTCGGGGATCTCGGGGACTTTACGCCACTCCTCACTCGCAAAAATGTTAGGCTGGTGAATGAAGGGGCCTTTTCCAGAGTTCTTGCGCCGGGGCGATAGGGACAGAGAAGCGATTGCGCAAGGGGACGGCGAGAGATTGTCCACATCCATCGGCGTGCCGAGGGGGCCGGCATACATGGTCGCGGCGCGGACGAAGGGGGTTCTTGCCGCCTTCTTCAGTTCGTCCTTTGGTGTGTCTGGGCCCATCTCTGACAAGTCTGTCATGTCTGTTCCCGCAGTCAAGCCGCTCTGGTTGCTGCTGGCACCAATGGACGAGTAAGGGAACTCGGACTTCGCTGCTGATGAGCTGAACTCCATCCGCTGCTGCTCGTTCGCGAACGAGACCATCTTCTTGTGCTGTTGCAGCTCGACCTGCACACGGGCCTGCACCTCCTCCTCGTACTTGCTCTGGAGCTGTTCAATCTCGAGATTGACCAGGCGGTCAATCTCCAAGCGGGCTCTCGCCTCCCACTCCCGCCGCAGGGACGAGTCGATCTCCTGCCTCATGGTCATCTTTTCCGAGTCCAACCGAAGTAGTCTCTTTTCGATTTCGCGCGCCCGTCGGTCCACAGACTCCTCTTTCTTAGCGAGGGCCGCCTCCCGCTTGTGAAGTGCGCGGCTCATCTCAACCACCTCCCGCTCCTTCCGCATCAAGCGCACGACCGGCAGGTTGAGCAGTGCTGCCGTGTCTGGTCTCCGGTCTGGGTTCACCTTCAAGCAGTCCCTGATGACAGCGCTGAGCTCTGCCGAATATACACCTGGGAGCGGTGCGACCTTTCCCTCCTTGATCTTTTGGACCAACTGGTAGTGTGACTTGGCGTTGAATGGAGGCTCCTTCGTGCAGAGCTCGTAGATGATGCATCCCAATGACCAGACGTCTGATTTGAGCGTGTAGTTCTCGGCAGCACAAATCTCGGGTGACATGTAGAACGGCGTTCCAACGTAGGTCGACGCGAACTGTTGCGATGTCAACACCTTGGACAGTCCGAAGTCGCCGAGCTTGACCGAGTTGTCTTCGCCGAGAAAGACTGTAGAGGGTGTCAGCATGCTGTCACGGTGCTATCGAGGCTCCAGCACTCACTGTTCTCTGGTTTCAGGTCTCGGTGCAGGATGGTCATGCCACCTGGTGGCGTCTTGGGCTTTGCAGAGGGGCCCAGCCCCATGACGTCTTTTCCAACCTCTGGGGGGTCGATGCCGTAGTGACACCGGTAGAGGGCCGTGACGAGCTGTGAAAAGATGCTCCAGACGAATGCCTCTTCAGCATATTGACTCTTGGTCTGCAGGTCTCGGATGACGCGACCGAGGTCGCCATTTCCGCAGTACTCCATGTAGATGTGGAGGTCCTGGGTGGTCTTGAGGTGCTCCCGGCTGTAGTATCCAACGATGTTCGGGTGGCGGAGAGAAGAGAGGATGGTGAACTCGGCGTGGAGCTGTTCCCTCTCCTTCTGTGACATCTTGAGGTAGCTGATCTCCTTGCGGCAGAGGACCATGCTGTCGTCCTTCCTGCGAACCTTGCGGATGATTCCAAAGGAGCCATGGCCTGTGTACGAGACGGTATCAGCAAGGTCACGCCCATATCGGCATGGTTGGTTGCTCCAGCACACGATGATGCAGGGGCGACAATGGACAATGCGTACCGATCTTCTCGAGGACCTCGTACTTGTCAGAGCTGTCCGACGCCATATTTAGATGCAGAACCGGGCAGCCTTTGTCAATGGGTAGGTTGGGGATGATCCATAAGCTGCGGGAGAAGCAAACAAAGGCAAAGGAGTATTCAGGGTCGAGGACGTGGTGAGTGCGTCTGCTGATGTTAGTAGGACTCGGTCGACCCAGGTCGGGTTTGTTGTGTTGAAGGGATACGGACTCTGCTTGGATGGGGTCGAGAGAGGTAATGGGGATATGAGGATCAAGGAATCGAGGTGAGGCGAGGTGAGGTGGTGGTGGTAGTGCTTGGACACCTCCCCATGTCCAAAAAGTATATGTCAACACCTCAATTGCCTGGGCAACCATTTTTGCACGGGGGTTAGGGTGCCCGGGCCGACCTCTTGTCTGCATGGGTCCCCACTGCTGCCGTATCGATAAGCCCCATGACGACTGTGTAGATGCGCCACCCGGTGCCGGTGCGCTTAACTCCGATGACCTCTTCCGGCTTTGTACTCCGGGGGGCGGATCAAGTTGCTGGCCTGCTTGCTTTCTTTGCTTCTTGTTGGACCTGTGCCGTAGTATCATTATCCATTGCCACACGCCGGTCTACACCATGGCTGGAGTGCTCAAGAAATATGAGCTCGAGGCTAAGCTCAAGGACGAGCACACGCTGATCCAGCAGGGGATCCTCCGCGATGAGAACCCTCTCGATCTAACGTCAGATTTCACCAAGTTCCTGGGTGCATGTAGAAAAGGAGATCTCAAGACATGCCAGGAGCTGATATCAAACGGTGTGAATATCAACGGCAAAGACGCATTCGACTATACTCCCCTCATCATCGCCAGCCTCTGCGGTCACTTCGAGCTCGTCCAGCTCTTGTTGGAATCAGGTACGCCACCCTGTGATGTGGGAATGGCCTCGCCGACAGAGCAGGTGCTGATGCCCATGCAGGTGCACTTGCGGAGAGGAATACGTTCCAGGGCGAGAGAGCAGTGTACAATGCCCTGAACGACCGGATAAGGAACCTCCTGCTGTCTTATGACTACTCAAAATCCACCGACCCGCTGCAGCCTTGGTCGTCGCACATAACGTCCTTGTTGGCACGACAGATTCCAAAAACTGCAGATATCACGCTGACTTCGGGGCCCGAAACCCTCCATCTCCACAAGTTCTTACTCTCAGCTCGGACGCCGTATTTCAGGGCCAAACTGGCGGATGCCCCGGAGACGACGCAGTGGAAATTGTCTAGTGCGGTGCCGGTCGAGGCTTTTCGCCTTGTGGCTCAGTACCTTTACCTGGACGAACTGCCCAGGGAATTGGTTGATGCCCGTAGCTCAACCTCTGAGGAAGAGGTCTTCAAGGGCATTGACAAGATCAGCAAACAGCTCGAGGTCGAGAAGCTCTGGGAGGCGGCCTTGACCCTGGACGACCGGCGATTGGCGAGGCAAAGGTATCAGGACGAGATCCAGAGGGCGCAGGAACAGGTCGAGAGTTTCTTCCAGGAGCATGTTGTGCGGCACAAGATGGTGGTGGACACGAAGAAGGTCAACGAGATCAAGTGGAGGCTGGACAACTCCATCTTCGCCGACTGCTTACTACGGGCCGATGACGACGACGGAGACAGTGAGGATGAAGTCGAAGACGACCAAGAAGCGGCGATCATCGGGGCCAACGGCATCCCAATTGGGCCTGCAGCCCAAACTACGAACCAGAAAGAGGCAGAGCACAAGCCCAGAAAGTCCACCGTCTTTCCCGTACACAAAGCTATGTTGATCAGGTCTCCGTATTTCGAAACCATGTTCTCAAGCGAGTTCATGGAGGCGCAGGAGTCGGAGTATCTGCACATCGTCAAGGTGGACTGCACACCCGAGGTTCTGGAGATCATCCTGACGTTTATGTACACGGAGAAGTCCGACTGCCCACTCGACCTCGCCCTGGAACTGCTTTACACATCAGACATGCTCCTTATGGACCGCCTCAAGACCAAAGCGGCACAAGCCATCAGCACGCTCGGGAGCGCGACAGGCAACATGCTCGTGGACCGCACCCACGCCGAAGGGCACGACGAGCAGGTCGAGGTCGAACCGATCAATGTGTACGACGTGATCCACGCCGCGTGGGACCTGAGGGTACAGAGGCTGGAGGAGTTCGCGGCGCGGTACCTGGCCTACAGGCTGGAGGACTACATCGACGAGCCCGAGTTTGCGGACCTCATCCAGGAGTCCGCGTCGAGGCTTAAGCTGAGGCAGGAGACCGACACGATCGAGCTGCTGGACGACATACGGTATTACCTCTCGGAGCGCTTCCGCCTGAGGTTTGAGGATGCGGGGCTGGATGAGATGCTCGACGAGGAGGGGGAAACCAGGCCCGAGGCTGTGGAGGGGCTGGTCGCTGCCAACGGAGAGGGACGCGATGGCATCAAGGACGCAGGTACAACTGGTGTGTCGACTGATGGGATCGCCGCTTCTGTTGCCGACGACACGTCTCCGCTCAAAGAAGCTGCTGCTGCTGGTGGTGGTGGTGTCAAGACGTTGGAGGGAGAAGTTGTCGACGATGAGTTCGACTTAGATGCGAGGAACTACCAGACCCTCTTGAGAAAGATCGATACCATGCTAGAGAGGCTAAAGCTAGACGCATGAGACTAGAAATGTTGGGCCACGCACAAATAGAAGTGAACCCATGCTGTGCAAAAGTTGGTCCAAGAGGCAAAAGGTTCGGCCAACTGAGGCCTACATCCTGTTATATGGCAGTTTAGATGCGCGATTATTGTTTTTGTTTTGTTTTGATGTTTGATCGAGCCAGTTCTTTTTTTTTGCGCTCCTTTTTTTTTTCTGAACGTGTGTGCATCCCTCCCTCCCCCAGCTGCCCCTATTTTTTGTTTGTTTTGTATTTTTCTGAATTTGAGTTTTGCTTCTTGACCACTGCACTACGCTCTCTTTTTTTTCTTGAGGCAGCTGGTGCTAGAACCTGTTTCGATGCCCTTATTAATACCAGTCCAGCGACTGGCTGGTGTTGTGGTGGTTGGTGCTTCGAGCCAGTGGCCAGCCAGACTGAGGCCATCGCAAACCCTCCCACGCTGGCGCCCACTACCTTCAACCTAGTGAATACACACAAGTCTTCATCCAACCCTCGAGTATTCGGACCTCTGTCACTCCATGTCATCTCAGAAACCTCTCACCTCTCCCTGCGCCAGGAAGCCAACCATCTTGATGTGACAAGGAGCCTTGTTGAGCTTGTATTGGGATAGCGCGCTGGTGGGACTGTCTACCGGAACAGCATTGTATTCGATGAAGATGGAGAGAGTATGGACTAATTTCGCCCGTGTTCAAGAAGCCGAGTCATACCAAACCCTACAGATGTTAGGTACCAAACAACAACGGAAGCGGAACGGCATACCGGTCGAAAGACATCAAGAAGCAGGAGTGGCTGGTTCTCGAGCGTCTCAGCGGAGCTTCTGGCGTCAAAATTCTGGCCAAAGCTTGGCTGTTTAGTGAGGTCCTGTTTGCGAGCCGGTTCGATGGCTGTGAGGACAATTTCGATGTAGGAAGAGGCAGTAGGAGCCCATCATACCCCCTCAGAGCCGGCCCCGACACTGTCAACACAGCTCACTGGCTCATGAAGGCTTCAATATGAGAGCGCGCAACGGCAGATGGGCAGACTGGCAGCAGCATGGACGACGGGGTGGTCATATGGCAGCTTCTGGAGTGATGGGGCAACGTCCACGAGTCACATCTGAGCGTCTTGTGCGAGGTACTACTGTCGAGAGGCGCCTAAAACGAGTCACGGGCTGGTCCGTGATATATGATAAAGGCTTTGCGTAGAAGCACAAGTGTCCGCAAGAGAGGCACCTCATGCTGCAGTTTGGCAGCAAGAGGAAGTTGCATGTCAAGGACTGTCGACACTGCCAGGCCAAGATGCATAGCTGGCCTGTGAGAGCCCGCGAGGCGCAAAGGAGACACCACTGCCACAAATGACCAACTCCAGAACATACAGCCACAACCACTTCTTGGGCCCATAGCCCCCATTTCTCATGAATACTGGTAAACACAGGTACGGTGTGTCAGGGGAAACGTCCTATGGGGGCATAGCGACACTTTTGCCCGGCTAGGCCTTTGTGGATCCGAGTAGAGCAAGAATAGACTAGGAGTTGTGCAATGCCCACCCCTCCCCCTTTCTCAGCACCGAAGACCACGAAGCTGCCCAAGGACCCAGACAGCACAGTGACTCCAGAGCGTAGTAGAAGATGCCCGCCCCTATAAACAGCCCAGGCGCTGAGTGTACCAGCCCGATCTGGCCCGCCGTGAAGTGGCCATGTGTTTGTTATGCCCCCTGTGACGCATATACAAAACCTTGTTGACCATATCCCGTCGGCTCTCGACAGCCCGGCTCACACAAGCCCGGCATCCCAAACCCCGAGCCTGTAAAGATGGGAGGAAGTAACGTTGCTGGCAAGCCTGAACATCCCCGCCCCCAACGCACAAAGCACTGTGCGCTCTCACCTAAAGCGTCCCCATAATAGCAGCAAGAGGGGATTCGCCGCGAAGACAAGAGTGACAAGGGGGAAGGGGGAAAAGTAGTCGAATACGAGGTCGGCCTGTTTCTGGCTAGGCTCAGGTGTAGTGTCGAGGACCGGCTCCACCGTCCCTTTCTCGATCGCGTGGCTGCCGTCCCCGGGTGGAGAGGAGGAAAACCGCACATGGACAGGGCTGCCAGCACGGGCGCAGGACCTGTGTCGCTGCCGGCGCGTCGCCGTGAGAGGTGCGCATAGAGACTCGGGCACGGGAGGCGGTGTATTTCCAGGCAGCGAGGGGGCGGAGTACTTTTCAGCCTCCGCGAAACGAATGGGGCAGCCGGTGCGCACCGGCGAATCATTGTGATGATCGTTATTTCAACAAAGAAAATGAAGAAAGCCGTTTTTTTTGGACCGGCCTGCTCTCGCTAGTAGTAAAAGTGCTTGCTGTTCGATCAGAGGTGGAGGAGGTGCCCGTACCTCCTAGTTCGAGATGGGCTTTTTGTAGCCGTTCATGCGATGCCCAAGATACGACATAGATAGTCCCGCGAGGCCTCAGCATTATCCATCACAGCCTCACAACATTCCAGTTGCCATCGAAGGCCGGCCACAATTTTCACAAAAGCCACGAGACATACGGTCCGTGAACATGAAATTAGTCGTCATTCAAACCGTAGATATTATATAGACGTATCCTATCAGTCATCATCCCAGTGCCTCCGGCTGATAATAATCGGCCGTGCAGGGTCCCAGGGGCCATAGATTTCGTTCTTGTACTTCTGCAGCCCGATCAGCCACCAGCTGCATCCGCCCATGGCAACGGCAGCAATGACGCAGCCGACCACCATACCCAGGAGGCCGCTCGCCCAGGGCCAGGGCTGGTTCTCGCAGGCGCGGGGCCCGTCACAGTCGGCGCCGCCAAGGATCATGCCAACGCCGCCGCCCGCGCCGAGGACCAGCAGAACCGTCAGGACCACGTGGTACCGCCAGCTCCGGTGGCGCGCGTAACGCCGGAAGACGGGGAACAGGCCGAAGACCTCGATGCTGAACAGCGTCAGGCTGAACACCTGGCCCGTCGACGGCAGCCGGCTGGCCAGCACGGTCGAGGCCATCAGGGCGGCATTGGTGGACAGCGACGCGACGGGAAACTTGTTGACGCCGACCCAGGCGCCCGAGTAGTCGAAGAAGAAGATGTTGATGGCCAGCAGCCAGAAGGACATGGCCCAGATGCTGTCCGAGGAGGTCGAGAGGGTGAGGGACTTGAGGATCGGGGACAGGCCGAGAAGTGTGAAGTAGATGAGGATTGCGGACTTGATGGTGTTCATGCGCAGGTGAGCCCGGCCGCCTCGGAGCGGCGACGAGGGCCGGTGTTTGACCTGTGGGCCGGCAGGGTCGGTGGGTGAAGATGTCCGGCGGGACCGCAATTGGTTCGTGGTCGTGCCAGAAGTGCTGACCTGGGAGGTGGCGGACAGCAGAGAGCTCGCAGATGTGGAATAAGGCTTCGCAGTTAAGAGGTTCGTGGCGCTGGCACTGGCGCTCGGCAGAAGTGCCTGACCCGGGGGCATGAGCAGGTTCGATGTGGAGCTTTCGGCTGATGGTAGTGTCGACGCGCTGCTGCTAGCCGCGCCGGAGACGGTCTGCGAGGCCGCGATGCCCTCTTCTCCTTGCCCCCCGCTGCCGCTTCCGCTACCACTGCCCCCGACAGAGCTTCGCTTCTCATCCTGGGGCCGTGAAGAACGGCGGTAGTGTCTAGGGCCGATGCTCCTTGTCCTGTGGAGGCTCTCGATATCATCGTTCTCGCCCTCCTTCCCCACCCACCAATCCCACAGGAACCAGCCAACCGATGTCGCAATGGAACCCCAGCCGACGACAGCCACGGGGCTCAGTCGCCCCTGATGGATGCCTACAAAGCAGACGACAAATATGCAGACCGTGCATACATGTTGTACAATGACGGTAGAGTCTGCGACCAGGGGCCAGAAGTCGTAAGGCTTTAGTCGGGGGTTGCGCTGGAGGTTTTCGAGGAAAGTCCCCTGGTCGGTGTAATTGTCCGGATCTGCACGGTCGACTCCATCAGCTCTGCTGCTCCGTAGGCCACCAGTGGCGACAGTGCCTCCCAAGGTGCATCACTTGAAGACTTACACGACTGCTTAACCCACAGTAACTTTTTCCAGGGCCTCTTTCTCCGCCGCCGACTGCGACTCCTGCTGCCGCCGTCTTTGCGATACAGATGGCGTGGAATGTGGTCCCTGTTGCCCGGTGCTTCGAACGCATTTAACCGTCGAGGGGGGGAGGCGGCGTGGAAGGCATCCTCTGGGGCAAGATGCGACGGGTCAGGACGGCCGTGGTGCAATGATGATGATGATATTGATGATGTTGATGCCACTGCTGCTGCTGATTGTTGGAAGCTGGTCGGGGCGGTTATGGAGCGCGCCAGAGGCGGCAGACGCTCGATCTTGTCATTGTAGTCGGAGGCCTTTGACGAGAACTGCAGGCCCGAGGGAGGAGCCATTGAGCGGCTATGAAGATGGGCGTCCTTTCTCCATCCACACACGATGGCAGTCGTTCGTGGGTCGAAGGATCTCGTGGCCTAGGCCCTCGCGAGGTTTAGATTTGCTTCCGGCTCTGACGTAGGCTGGTAGCGCGGCGCCTGGACGGGACGTTGAACAGGCGATAACGATAAGGGGGGTGCGATGGGCGTGAGGCTTGGTGGCTTGGGCATGTGTGTGCACGGGCCGCTCCGTGGTGCCTACGCATGGGGCCAGGGGAAGAGGAAGTTCAGCAGCACGCAACTGAGTGGTGTGCTGGATCGCGGAGTGGAGGAGGGTGTGGAGATTGGAGATCCTGGGCAGGTTCGGCGCCAGATCTGTTTCCCCCTGAGGAGGGACCCTTCGTGCTCAAACTTGTCAACGGTGCTGCGAGACGTGCCAAGCCTCTCGTCAAAACCTGCCTCACTTCTCATGCTCGGGAGATTTGGTGGAAAAAGCTTGGCCTCGCAGTGAGTGGAGATCGTCTGAACGTCTGGGGAAGCCTATCACATCATACACGTACACACTTTCGATCTCAGCTGGACTCCACTGGGAACTGAGCGCACTGACGAACCAGAAAAAAGCCTTGCGGTCACTGGTCAGGTCCCCATTTCGACCACAATCCTGACGATCCTACTATGTAGCCCTAGGCAATCCAGGCGATCCGGGCAATTCAACGCTACTCTACCTGCCAAACTCAAAAATAGCCCGGGTGTAATTTCGAAATACGGCAGTGCCGGCTGGCGCACCCGAAGGGGATCGAGTCATTGGCCGGTGCGAACCATCGACTAGTCTCGCGATGGCCTCAATCCATTGAACATGGTCTTGGCCTGTCCATCTCACAGTCTCGTCGAGCCCTAAACCCGGCCAAGCCAAAACAGGTCGGCTCCATTGCTGCCCCAGCATCCCCGGCCGCCGCCCACCCCAAGCCGTTGTCTCTTCACGGCCTGAAATGGCGCGACGGGGATTGCATCTTGTCCGTGCCCCTGGTTGGATCTCTGGGCAGCATTCCAGTAGCCACCACAAAGCTAAGGCTGAAGCTTAGCCCAGCATGTCGTGCTAGCCGGACCGGCGCCAACCGTGTTGTTGTGTCCGCGCCGGTCCCCAAACAAAAATGACTGACTGGCAGTAACCGATCCAATCCCTCTTGACCCAGGAGAGGGTCACCGCCGTTGCGTCAACAATGTGGCCCTCATTTACATTCTCGTATACCACTGCTGGTAGGGATTTGCCCTCAAATTCTTCCCAAAGCGGTGTAAGCCAGGTTGAGACAGAGGCGGCTGACTATCGCGAGATTATATTGCAGTCCATTCCAGCGACGGCGAATCGGGTCGGGCAGGACAGGCCCGCACGCCGATGACCTCTCGGGCCTTACTCAGCTCCCACGTCTGGCTGCATGTCGTGGACCGGTCTAGGCTTCTGAGAGGGCAGAAGGAAAAGTCATGTCTGTCAATGCCCCGCCTGTCACTTTTCCGTATTTCCTCCTCTGAGTCCCTCTACCACTCAAGAAGCACGGGGTCCCCTCACGAATTAATCAACAGTGACGGAGTCGGAAGTTATCCGGCGGAAGTCGCCCAGTCAGAGTTTTCGAGGACCGGCCAAGCCCATAAATATACGGACGTGAATTGAACGGGGCTCGACCGAAGGCACGGGGAGCCTTGTGTTGCTGCAGAGGCGAGGATTCGCTGGGCTAGGCGTCCGTGGACTCGGAGGCCGAGGCCAATTCTGCCCGGACGAGACGGAGGAAGTGGGCCAGCAGAGGACCGAGGCACTGCTGCGACATGCAGGTGAGTGCTGCTTCTGCATACCAGAGAACAGTAAATCCCTCAACTTCTTGAGGGGCGCAGGACTGCCCAGGCCCCTTCTTGGCCAAGCAGTGCTTGTCACAGAGAAGCTGTCATAGACTCGTTACTCGTTACGCGGGCGCAGACGCAGATCACCCCAGAGGAACAAGTCCCTTGTTTGGTGAATGCCACGGCTGTCAGCTTTGGACGTCACCTAGTGCTGGATCCGTGGTCTACTGGGAGTCCAGTAGTTGCTCCTTGGGATTTCAGCCCATGGAGACAAGGTCACATCGCCCTGGACAGCACACAGCACCCGCCATTGCCAGCTGGTTGTCATTGTGCTGCCTGCCACGGGAACTAGCGCAGTGTGCCGGGCAGAGGCGAACTCTAAAACTGTCCGCCGCAGCCAATAGCAGCCGCCCACCACGAGGGAGTGGACCCCATTTCCACAGTAGCTGGGCTTATATTAGATAGAGTTAGGTTTCGGGGTCCATCCCAAGGGATGATGATTCGATCCATCGGCCGTCGCGGCATGGCCTCGTGGGCCATCCTCATCAGGTAACCAACCATCAAGCCAGCCAGGCAGCTCCGCCCACTCTTACGCTGTGGCGAATCACGATGGGTCTGGCGGGTCAGCGTGTACGAGGGCTCATCAGGGCAACGTTGCAGGATTCTCGCAGAGCCTCAGCTGGATCATCACCTCCTGTGTCGAGAAGGGCTCTGGTTTTTTTTTTTTTTGGGGGGGGGGGGGGTGATCATGGCATGATGGACAGCCGGAGCATTGTACAATTCTGGCCGAGGCGATGCTGAGTGAGTGACTAACCAGCTGGCAAGGTACCGATGGTGTCAAGGGGTTCTGCAATAAGAGGGTTATATTCGGTTTCTGATTATGGTTCTATCTAAGTTTATGCTAAAGGGCCGAGAAGCCAAGGACTACCTATTAATGCCCATAAGAGATCTATGCAATGCTCCTTCCTTATAATCTGCCCCCTTTAAAAAATAGCGGCGCCTTTATAGCTAATAAATAATTTTAAAAGGTATATTTAATAAATTAATTATCCTATATTCTATCTTTTAAGCAAAGTATTAAGCTTAAACTATTTCCATCTTCCTTATAATCTTTATTTTCATCTTTTAAAGCATTAAGGTTATTTTAAGGTTTATTTTATAATTTATTATATTCCTTATAATTAGCTGCTTTTATATTTTTACTTAATCTAAAGTTATTTATAAAAAGTTTTAATTTAAAAATATATTTATTATTAAGTAATTTAATAATAATATTTATAATATCTTAAATAGCAAGAAAGGCATTAAATTTATTTATAATTATTTTAATAAATAAAGTATAATAACTACCTTTTAGGGTATTGATTTATTTATCCTTTTTAATTAATTAATCTTTTAAGCTAATAATATATGCAATGCTAAGATTAAGTTGCATTTAAAGTAAATTCCATTAAATATTTAATTTAATGTTTTTTAACTATAATTTTGCAATTTAAGCTTGCTATTTATTAACTTTAATGGTAAATTTAGCGTTTTCCATTTTATATTGCTTATACTTTTATTATTTTATTAAAGGTAGGGACGTTATTAATAAGAAATATAAATAGGTATTAATATATTTTATTATAGGCAAGGAAGGTAGCATAAATTAATAGGTTATTGCATTATTAATAAGAGATATAGTAGGTTATGGGAATATATTAAACTTTATCTTCTTTAGGTTGCATTATAAACTTGCCATAGGCATTATATTAAATTTTTTTTAATTAGTTTTCTTTAATGGATTATATTTTTTAGTTTAAAATGATATAATAAAGATATTAAAATTGCTATTAAAGGAGCAATTATTAAGGGAAGGTGGTTTTTTAAGTAGGTTTTCTTTAATTTTATTATATATAAATTTAATGGCTTTAGCATTTTTATTAAAATTGCTTTTACCTAAGAATCTTTTAAATTTAAATTAAGATTCAGCTTAAAAAAAAGAAATGTTATAATTTACTATATTAAATAAATATTATAAAGAATATAGCAAAGTTAAAGCTTTTTTAATTAATTAATTTATCTTTATATTTATATAAAAAAGATATTAATTAAATTTTCCATTAACAATATCTTATAATTTATTATAAATATATATTTACTACTTATATTCCTTCTTCTTATACCTTTTAATAAATTATAGGAGCTTTTTATTATATTCCTACTTTTATATTAAATAAATAAGGATAAGGAAATCCATAGCCTTATTAAGTTTATTAATTTTAACCCTATTAAAATTAAGAATTATTTATAATGTAATATGTAAGTTTTTCACGATAATCATTAAGCTAACTTAATTATTTTAATGCATAATATTATTAATATTTTTAATTTAAGGCTTTAAATTTTAAAAAAGATTTACAGCTTAACGCTTTGCTTTAAATTTATATCATTTAAGTTTATTTTTAAATAGCTTTTTGCTTTTATCTCCTTTTATTATTATTATTAATAATAAGCTTAAATTATAAAGCTATCTTAAGTATATCTTTCGTTAAATAAAAATAAATAAAAAAATAAAAGGAAGGAAAAAGTTTATAATTTTTAAGAAAGAATTAAAATTATGCTTTAAGTAATATTATATTTATCCCATTTTTTCATTTAAAGTTTTTAAGCAAATATTATTATAAGTTATTATAGCAATTATTGGTAGTAGTTATTAATGGTAGTTACTATATTAAGTTTATAATAAATAGTTATTTACGGGCGAATTCATTAAGCAGCAATTATGCATTAAGTTCTAGTTGCGGCAAGATTATCCATTCTTAGAATTTAGGTCTTAATTTAATGTATTTAATAAGATATTTTATATCCTTTAATTTTAAATATCATTAATTAATTATGCGCTTTATATAATCTTTAATTTAAATAGGTTTAATCCAAGGTATATCTTAACTAAATAAATTTAAAGAATATGGCTTAAAGTAATTAATAAAAATAATATTATGCTTTAACTTCTATATGCACGGAAAGTTAAGTTGGTATATAAAATAATTAATTCTTTCCATAACTTTAAAAGAGCCTACATATTATGGTCCATATTTATAATCAATATCTTATAAAATTCTATATCCTTTATATAATTAAAATAATACCCATGCTTTAACTTTAAAGAATTATGCAAGATATTATTTATTAAAATATGCTTTTACTAT